GTGCAGTTACTATATCAAAGTAGGTCTAATACACCAGTTTCACATAAGCCACTATTCAACCCTGATCTCGAAATCATATGCGCGTTTTAGTTTAAATCTCGCGATAATTAACGATATCATACGGGATATCCTATTGACTATTCGATTGACCCTAATAGTTGGCAACACAATGATAAATCAACAGATAATACACATCTCTCTCTGTTGGGGTGTGCTGTGGAGGCAGGTTAACAGATGATACCAGTACACATTATTTTTGTCACGGCGAAGGTAGTTATTTCAGAAGTTGTCACTGACATCATAGATATAATAGCTGTTATATCTTTTGCAATTGCTGACATTAAAAAAAATTGTATTAACAATTGTATCTGTATTATTATTGGGACGAATACATTTAAATATTGTCCCAGATTATTTAATTTTAGGTTATTAATAATCGTTTGTTTTATATAATATAAATAAATATTATGACTGTTTATACAGAATACGAACATTCAAAATCTTACTGAGAACAAAGAATGTAGATACTAAATAATCGAAATTTTCACTTAAGGTAGTGTGGAAGTATAAACGAAAAATGATAGAATGTTTCCTTATATACTTTACCAAAGATGTAGTATTTATTGTGATATGTTAAAAATAAAAACAACAAAAAAAAAAAAAAACAATGATAGGTCTATGATTTCAAGCTACCGGATGTGAAAATACGAAACATTTTTGTATGGAATATACAGAGAAAAGGCATCATTATAAGAATATTTGCAAATAAACTAAATGATAGAATTTTAAAATTAATTGTAAGATAGCTCTTATGAAATGCTTTCAGAATACCAAAAGAAAAAATAGGGTCACCGTGCGTTTTATCCTGCTAAAAAATGCGTGGCATATGACGTGAAATAGAACACTTTCGTGTAATTTGTAATAGACGTGTACATTTGTTTTAAATAGTTCTGCTTCAATGATATTTTTAGACGGCCATGAGAATGAAGTGAGATATAAGGCAGTTTTAGAATACGCATCAGAAATACAAGTTTATCTTCAATTTCAAACATCAGACTTTTAAACAATGCATTCAATACCATTTTAATTTCTATGCTATGTCCATGATTGACTTTTTCTAAGTAGTGGTTTCATGTAAACGGCCAGAGTAATTTTCTACAGTATTCATCGTATTGTCAAGGATTTGTTTAAGAGGACGTCTATATAAAAAAATGTACTTGTAAAATTCTTGTTATTGTGAATATTATTTGTTTACTTATTTTTTTTAATAATGAATGAATTTACAACAATATATCATTAAAAGTAATTGAATATTCTGTATTTACCACGTTTATCATAACATAAGATAAAATTGCTGAATGACTCCCTCCTCAATTATTAAAATATATTCAGTTGAATTACTAGTAACCGTACAATCTCAGTGTAACTTAGGTATGTGTATCTTATATAGAAACAGGGTTACCATTTTTAACATCTGTATTAGGGGAAAACCATTTGATTTTCAAGGAGGGGTGACTTTAGAAAATGAATACAATGGGATAGTAAGAGCAGAAAATAAATAATTTTGCCCAAGAAGGCAGGATGCAAATAATCTGCAACACAAAATGCAGGCAATAATTGTATACAAAAGTTAAATATGCAACACAAAATGCAGGAAATAATTGTATACAAAAGTTAAATATGCAACACAAAATGCAGGAAATAATTATTATGAATAAATTTTCGCGCAGCAAAAAAAAAATAGTATGCGTAGCATCTGGGACATTAAATATAGAAAGTTTACTATTTCTAGGTAGCAACAGATGAATATGAATATTCAATCCGAAACAAAATTTCTGGCTTCCGTCAGAATATCAAATGATCGTCCCCTTTTTAGTAATTGTATGTAGAAAAGGGTACATTTTTTTATCAATTGTCACCTGGTGAGATTGTACAAGGTAAAACTCCACATTGCTAAGGCGTTAATTTACTTCCTAATTTATGACCTAACATAGGGATACGAAGTGACCCCGGATATTTTAATTTAATCTATTCTTCCCGCACAGTGAACAACCTCAGCGTGAATCCAAGCACTTCTTCGTGACAATTAAAGGTAAAAGTCAGGCGGCATATCAGATCGTCTATTACTGCAACCAACAACACAACAGTAGTCCGTTTTAAATCTTTTGATATGTCAGTGTTAATAAAGTTGTCTCGTCAATATATATTTTCATTCAAATGATTTTCGTGTTTCATGTACATGTAGGTGCAAACACTTAATCAGGTAATTGTTTTCCAGGTCTGCATGGTCACTGCTTATCAACCGTAAGCCCCAAGTCAAAGAATTCTCGGGAATTATCGCGTGATTTCATAGTTTGGCTTATTACGTTAGACATGCGCTGTTAAATGTGAAACTGGTGAATTGACATACTTCTTTTGAATGTTGTCACTTAAAATGACTTATAAGAGTTTGAACATATATATTCACATTCTGACCTTTTAATTGCCTTTTTGATTAGGTATGTGATTTGTTCTTAATGATATTTTGAGGTTAAGTGGTAAATAGAGTAGAACAATCAAAACAGATTCGAAAGTACCAATATAAATCAGGTGCCATGTTTGTTTTCTTTGATCACATCGGTGTTATAACTTTATACATCCTTAATCTAGCTATGCACTAGGGTATTATTAGAATGACAGTTACGTGTCAAATTATTTGCAATATAAAAATTGGAACTAAATTAAAGTATGTGCATGGACAAATGTCGAAGATCGTCTACATTTGAAAATTAGTAGGTCGCCATTTTTTTTCGTAAATTCGAAATTTTGTCAAAACAAACAAAATGTATCCATTCTCTCAAAAAGGAAATACGGAAAATCAAAACCTTTTCCGAGTAAAAACAATGTACATATTCCTATCTTTTATATATAAATCATACTCTTGTAAGAAAGATATTATCCATGAAAATGTTATCAGGCGTTCTCATCTAAAAACAAAACATTTTTTCTTACTGAATCAAATGGATTGAATAGGCCGTTAAGGATTTAATTTTACCGTTTGCATCCATGAGTTTTTTTTATTTCCATCGTAAAAAATATTATAAAATATATTTTCGAGTTACGATGTCAATGCAAACAATGCAGGATCGATGATATACATTATATTTTTTGCCAGAGAATTTTTCTAATAAATATACTAAAGTGAAGGTGGAATAAGTAATTTTTTAAAAGCAATAAGACATACTTAAAATATTTCAGATATAACTTTTAAATTAATAACTAAATGAATACATAGCCCGTCGTGTCGTTGTTTACCCCCGACAGCGGCCGCCATTTTCAAAATATTGCAATCAAATGCGAAAAATGTGAACTTTTCAATCAAAGTTTGAAGCAAAACGTTTGTTTCCTAAAGTGATTCGGATTTTGATTTCTTTGCATTAAACGTATTGTCGACCTGCTTTGGGTTAGATATTATTTAAAATTGAAGATATAAAAAGGTCCCATTGCAATTTTATCGAGTGTGTGGTTATGCCATCACGATTTTCAAACCTAATTTGAAGCAAGAATTCATATTTTTGAACTGAAATTGAGAACATACTAGTATTTCATTGTCAATTAGAAAAAACTTTAAAACGCGGGGTTGGAAGCTAAAATACACAATGTATAAAAATAATTACGATCGTTTAATCTATGTAGCCCGTTTATTTCCATTGATAAACGATGGACTTGTTAAAGTCACGAGATGACCGCGATAGTTGGATATGGAATATCCTGCACCCGGAGGCGAGATTCAGCTGGCCCCTAAACAATAACGTATACTAGTGTCAAGCCTATATTAGATCACACCTACTTAACAGTACGGAACTAAATCTGGTCTTCATTGATTTGTTGATAAATATAGCTAACTGTCTTTTCTAGAAAAAGAAAATTACACTTTGTGTAGTTGATGGCTTTTCTAGATTTACCTTTGTTAAGAACGCCCTGACAAAAAAGGAGTAGGCCCGGTAAGACCCCTTTTTGGCCCCAAAATATAGCATTTTTACCAATATGTTAAAATGTAAACTTTTAGCTATTTATTGGAAAGTAGAATACTTCTGTTCCATAAATATGGGCTGTTTTGACAATACAATGCACATGCAGCAGGTAATAGCATCATAAATTCGTGCAATATTACTGAAATCTTCACAATTTTACTATTTGTGCTAATTTTCAGACGGTCTTTGTCTAAAATGGAAGTGGCCGCATTTGTGTTCAGTCTTAATATTTAAATATATGTTGTATTTGATGATAATACATAACATATATAAAGGTTGAGACTGAACACGAATGCAGCCACTTCCATTTTAGACAAAAACCATCTGAAAAATGACGTTTTATGGCATATTTGATAGATTTTGCATATTTAAGCGTGAATTTGAGCTTTTCTAATGACCAAATCAGTTCAAATCTTTTACATAAACTAATTGAGTGTTTAAAAAATGTCAAAAATCTTTCATTAGATGTACTTCGAATATAAGGCCAAAACTAGCCCTTACCGGACCTTCTCATTTGAAGGCCGAGGATTTCTATAATTGCTTACATCCACTTTATTTGAACTTTGGTGGACAGTTGTGTCATTGGCAATCATACCGCATCTCCTTATTTCTAAATATATCAAATACTTCAGGAGCAGATTTTAAAAACGCCAAAATTCGTGAGATCAACTTTGCTTAAGGGAGTTGGAACCTTAGCTCGGCAACAATTTCTAAATTATCAATTTAAGAAAGGAATGTTATACATCATCTCAGTACCGAAGTACTGACTGCTGAGCTGACGAAAGCCTCGGGCGATGGTAGTCCCTGGAAATCATGGCCGTTAAAATATTCAAATTATTTTCTTTCTATATTTCAGTGTCAAAATTGTGCATACAATATTAGTATGAAACGAAATAAATAGTAATGATTTTTCGTCATGCTAAACGTTATATTGTAATTATCTATATCAGAAGGGAATTCATATAATAAGCTAGCGATCAATCATACCTTCCTTCTGTAATTCCGCAGACACAACGTAATCATCAAAGTAATTGAACAGGTACTCAAACGTTGGTCTGTTTGTCGGTACTTTGTTCCAGCAACTCAGCATAATTTTATAAACATTTTCGGGGCAGTTATGCGGTTTTTCATGTTGGAAGCCCATTTCAAGTCTCTCTAAAAGTTCCTTATTTGCAATTCCTAAAACAAATACCAATTTGTTTTATTTTTTATGCATATTTTCGTATGTAGGTATTTTATTCATTTAAAATACTACCACTAATGATAATAATAATGATCGCAACCATAAATAATAATACTAATTGCAAATGATAGAACTATTATTATTGCAGAGAACACTTCCATTGTTCAAACATTTAACCAAAAATTGTTCCAAATTCAATGTAAACTGAGCTGGCGATAAAGACAAACATGCACACGATACCAATGAATTTAAATTCTGTTCGGGCATTCAAATAAGAAAAATAAAAGTTACTTTCGATTTGGAAAACCCCCACTTAAAGTGTCATTTTGATTTTTCATACTGAATTAGATTGACAATTAACCACTTTTGATTACAATAATGCCACTTCTGGTACTATTTATACTGATCTCGATAATATATTCATGGTAGATAATTCGTAATAAATTAAGAGAGATAGTTTGTTAAAACATATTTTAACTTTCAAGGTTGTTGTCAACTTTCATACTGAAAATTGACAAATGCACAATTTAGATTCAAATTTAATTGTTCATTGCTTAATCTAATAACTAAGTAACTGAAATTTCATATAAAATAGCAACCCTAAGATACGATGAGCACAGATTTAAAATGGCGATAAGACAAAGACAAATGTAAAATAAAGAAAAAACAATTTAGGTAGTATTGTACCCTTAAAATACTTGCTTTCCATCTAAAAAGAGAGGCGAAAGAAACCAAAGGTCAGTTGTCAGTTTATTTTCGACTCATAATTCGAAATTAAACTGACAACGCCATGGCAAAAAAAAGGACAAAAAGACACAAACAGTATACAAAAACACAACAGAAAAGTAAAGACAATGGGGAAGCTGAAATCATCTCTTTCGTCGCAAAGTTTCGTTGTCAACTGACCATCATTGTCAATTTCTAGATACGAGGCAGAATCAACTGTATCTTTTGTATCCTTTATTACAAGTTCTTTATGAGAGATGCCTTCAAAATAGTCACCAAAATTGAATTCGTTAGTGAAAGGATACATCTGTATAGCTGATAGTGAAGTTACAGGATATCTACGTTGGTCATTTTTTTATGAAACAAAGCAGGACCACCTCTTCTAATTTGTGTGGAATGGGGATTATTTCTGTAAAGGATAGAAAAGTCAAATGTTTTAATAATATTGCTAGATGAAAGATTCTTATATTGTAAGTACTATAACAGATCTTTGTAGTATCCACATCTAATTCACAACGCCTCCAGAATGGTAGTTTCACAATAACTTTGAAGCCCGGCTTTGGTTGCTGATAAAATTGATGTTAACAATTTAGAAAGAGGTTTCGTGGAGCAATGGAAGACTCAGCAATATAAGATTGTTTGTAAAGACACTCATGTAAAAGAGAAGCAAAGAATACCAAAGGAAAATTCAAACTCATCAGTCGAAAATAAACTAACAACACCATGGTTAAAAAAAAGACAAACAGACAAACAACAGAACAAAAAACACAATATAGCAAACTGAAGTCTGAGCATACACTTACCCCAACAAAAACTGGGGGTGATCTCAGGTCCTTCGGAGGGTAAGCAGATCCTTCTCCACATGTGGCACCCGTCGTTTAGCTCATGCTAGTACAAAATAAAGGCAACAGTAGTGTATCGCTGTTCAAAAGTCATAAATCGAATCAGAGAAAACAGATCCGGGTTACAAACTAAAACAGAGGGTAACACATCAACTATAAGAGGAAAACAACGGAACAACAGAAACACTGAACTGTAACATACATAGAAACGGACTATTTGATAACAACTGCCATATTCCTGACTAGGTACAGGACATTTTAAGAAAAAATAGTGGGTTGAACCTGGTTTTATGGCTAGCCAAACCTCCCGCTAACATGGCAATGTTAAAAAATAACGCTAAAATGACAACACTACATGACAGGAAAACAGTACAAACAAAACGCAAGAACACTCAGCACAGAGAAATACATAAATAAATTATATAATAGTGCATTACAACATGTAAACCGCAGAATAACAACGGACACCTCCCATGAAATAACAACAGCACAGGACACCACAAACTGCGCGTGACATGAATGGATCAACGCCACAAAAAGTGACATATAGGGTCGATGCCACTGCTGGTGGAGTTTTTATTCCCCGAGGGTATCAGCAGCCTAGAAGTCACCACTTCTGTGTTGACATGAATTATCATTGATATGGTCATAATTATAAATTAACTGTTTACAAAACTTTGAATTTTTTAACTACTAAGGCTTTTCTACCTCAGGAATAGATTACCTTAGCTGTATTTGGCAAAAACTTTTAGGAATTTTTGGTCCTCAATGCTCTTCAATTTCGTACTTTATTTGGCCTTTTTAATTTTTTATGATTCGAGCGTCACTGATGAGTCTTTAGTAGACGAAACGCGCGTCTGGCGAAAATACAAAATTTCAATCCTGGTATCTATGATGAATTTATATACGTTATAACAGGTAAATTTGAAATTCATACAATTATATGGAACGAGATCCAAAAATTCACAATTATTTTCACAATACTGGTCCAAATAATTATCATGATTCTGACGGTCTTGAAAAGTTATCTTAAATTAATGCTGTGACGACGTCATAATTATTTGGACTAGCACAATACTTTATCCATGGAAAATGGAAATCAACTCGACTATACTGACAAATAAGACATGAGTGAAATGCACAAAAAATACAGAATTCAAACCACAAAGGATAAGACATAACATACTATCTAACCGTATCACAATAGAAACATCATAACTAAATACATGAATGTCGCATGTATAAATACCGAGACACGTCGTGTAGCAATGCGAATTCACACTCAACAGTCATATTCGGGAAAAGGTCACGTTCGAAACTTAGCAGACAGACGTAGATGGTAAACCACAATCTAAGCCGTCGTAAAAATGTCGTTAGTTAGTTTAGACACAGTCACATCGTATAGATCAACCAATTCGTGATGGTGTCTATAAAATTTACGGAGTGCCATTTTTAATCTTTCCTCCTCATAACTCTGTTGGAGCAGTTTCTGCGTAAGGAGCACATCTTCAAACCCGGTGATAAGTATATTTTTGGTATGTCACATTCGGGGAAAAGGGAACAGGATTATAGTTACGATAATTGGAACATATGCGTTGTCATCTGTGATACGATTATTCCATAACGGTCAATCAACTCGTGATGGCGTCCGTAAAATTTACGAATGGACGATTTCAACTTCACCACTTCGGACTCTTGGTTTGATAGCTTCCTTGTTAGCAGCAACTCTCTATCAAGGAAATCATGATTTGTTTCTTGAAAATTATGTCCTCCAAACGTAACAAATATGTTGTCAATCAAGAAATAAAGCATCTTGATAATATCAGTTTCAGGTAATTTTTTGTCAGAATCAGAGTGAGTTTTTACAAAGTAAGATTTATCCCTCCCTTAAACAAGAATCTTGTATCTACGTAGGCCATTCATTTTTATGAAAAAATGCTAACCAACTCTTTCAATTTGTCTTTTAGTTTGGAATGGGGAATACTTGTGTAAAGTGTAGAAAAGTCAAATGTTTTAATACTATTGCAATATGAAAGAATCTTAGATTGTACGTACTATAAAAGACCTTTGGAATTTTTAGTATCTACATCTGATTCAAGCCACCTCTGGAATAGGCAGTGTCACAATAACTTTGAAGTCCGACTTTGATTGCTGATAAAATTGATGTTAACAATTTAGAAAGAGGTATCGTGGAGCACTTGGAAGACACAGCAATATTACATTGGTTGAAATTTTTAAGGAGCATAGAACAGACCTACATGATTATCCAGGATTTCCTCATTGGTAGGTTTCTTCGGGGTATATGTTCAGTTTCCATGTGAATTTTCAATAGCTAATACCTAAAGCATTTATCAAGCAGTTAACAAAATGTTATTCTCTCACAAACACGATGTTGATTAGGGCTTTATCTGCGGGGACAACAACATATTTGCTCAGTCATTAAAATCCAAAATGTCTTATAGTAGAATTGAACACGGCCGCGTACGAAGATTATTGCTACTGTCTTTAGTATGATGATCTGAATGTTTCGTATTCGAGGTACTTGTCATGATGGTGATAAGGGGACAACTGCCATTTCAGACGACACCGTGTCCATGGTGACGTCTGGTTCGGGCTTTTTAATACTGGGTGACGTCCGAGCCAGTTTCCATTTTGATCTTCGTAATTTCATGCAAAGTATGCTACTAGGCTTATGATGTCCTCGGGGACATATTTCTTGTGTTTGGACTACGCCTATTGTTATGGAAGAAAAAAGGATGAAATAGCCAGAGAAAGTGTTTAAAAATATAAACACGTTATTTTATTGCGGACAGCTATCTATCTTATCTGTTCCGACTTTTTATTAATAAGTATATAACTACCAGGCTTGATAATACAATACTTTGTCTATTAAAGAGGGCACTTATCCGGTAACATAAACTCTTTTGTCTTTAAATAGTAGAAAACATATGCTTTCTTTAAAAAAGAATAATTCAGTTATTTAGGTAATGACATATTACCATTATGTGATATATCTTTCACAGATGACGGCGGATATGTTCCAATTGTCGTAACTACAATCCCGTCCTCTTTTACTTTGGAAAATGCCTGTATCTAGTCAGGAATATGGCAGTTATTTTTTACTAGTTCCTTTGATTGATAGCGTTTGATTTTAGTTTTTATGGACTACACTTTTTGAATTTGCCTTGGAGTTCTGTTTTTTATGTTATACTTTTATATCCTCTAATATGACCTAACGAATTCAACTTATCACCGAGTTTGTACTTACACGAGCAACACGGTGGGAGGTGCATGTAGAACAGGATCTACTTACCCTTTTGGAGCACCTGAAATCACCCAAGATTCGTGGTGGGGTTTGTGTTGTTTAGTTGGAAGTTTTCTATGTTTTATTTTGTAAACTTTTGTTTGTCTTTTGATTGTTTTCAGTT